CTTCTAGCCCTTCCCCACCCTCTGTACCCCCCACAGACTGACACAGGACAGCTCAACACGACAGCAGACACGGCAGGGGTGGGGCCGTCCCCGGGCTGGGCTAGAAGACGGTGCACTTCTTCCCCGGCTTCTTGACCGGGGGCGGGCACAGCACTGCCCGGATGGCCTCGTCGAACACTGTCTTCAGGCCGCGCTGAGTCAGGGCCGAGCACTCCAGGTACTTGACTGAGCCTGGGGGCGCCGGGGAGAGGAGAATGAGGGGGGAGGGCGGGTGCGAGTGCGAGCTGGGCGCCCGCGATGGCCCGGCCAAGCCCACTCACCGATCTCCCGGGCCATGGCCAGGCCCTGCGGGTAGGTGATGGGCGCCAGCTTCTTGTCCCGCAGCCGCTCGATGGTGTCTTTGTCGTCTCGGAGGTCCAGCTTGGTGCCCACCAGGAGGATGGGCGTGTGGGGGCAGTGGTGCCGCACCTCCGGGTACCACTGTGGGGATGGAGCTCTGACCCTACCCCTCAGGGGCTCCTACCCCAGCCCGTCCCCGACAGGCAGGCCACGGCGCCCCGAGACCCACCCTGAGCCCTCCTGCTTCACGGGTGACCACTAGGTTTGATGGGGGACAAGAACTCCCAGCCAGACCCTGGCCGGTGTGGCTCAGTGGATAGGGTGTCAGCCTGTGGACTGAAGGGTTCGGGGTTCGATTCCAGTCAGGGCACAGGCCCGGGCTGTTCGATCCCCAGTAAGGCACGTGCAGGAGGCAGCCGAACAACGATTCTCATCATTGATGTTTCTCTCTCTCCCCCTCTCTCTTCCTCTCTGACATCAATAAAAATATATTTTTAAAAAAATCCCCAGCTAGAAGCTTCCAGGCCTGTCAGGGGCTCCCAGCCGGGGCCCTTCCCTTCTCTGAGAGCCTTGCTCGCCACCCTGCCCAGCCTGTACCCTCGGCCCCCAGCCCGGGGAACCCCACGCCAGGGGGGCACCTCCTCTCTCTCCAGAGGACCCTCAGCCCCTCCCGTCGGAGCAGGTCCCCGGGCCCCTCCCCTCGGACAGGCCCCGGCCGGCCTTGCCCTACCTTGGCTCGGACGTTCTCGAAGGAGGCCGGGCTCACCAAGGAGAAGCAGATCAGGAAGACGTCCTTGGGAGGAAGGAAGGAGGGCGCGGGTGGAGGCGGCCCAGGAGGCCCCTGTGTCCCCCCCCAGCCCCTCGGGGCCCCCCAGCCACCCCGGGCTGCCCGTCACCACCTACGGTTTGCGGGTAGGAGAGCGGCCGCAGCCGGTCGTAGTCTTCCTGCCCGGCCGTGTCCCACAGCCCCAGGTTCACCGGCTTCCCGTCCACCATCACGTTGGCCGAGTAGTTGTCGAAGCTGCAGGGACGGACGGACGGACGGAGGGAGGTCGGCCCGTGCCCCCCTCCGGCCTCGCCCCGCCGCCCCGCACTCACACGGTGGGGATGTACTCTCCTGGGAAGGCATTGGTGGTGTAGCTGATGAGGAGGCAGGTCTTGCCCACGGCTCTGAAAGACAGGAAGTTCCGGAGGGCGTCAGTCACAGGCCCGGCCTGGTCCCCGAGCCCAGCCCTCAGGAAAGACCCAGGCTCACCCCTCTGGGCCTCAGTTTCCCCATCTGAGGATCCCCGTGTCAGTGTTCTCAAACCTGAGAACCATGGAGTCATCGGGGTGCTTGTCAAAGGGCAGACTCCAGGCCCCACCCCAGAGAGTCTGACCCGCGGCTGGGGGCGGAACTGGGAACCTGTGTTTTGAAAAGCTCTCCCAGGTGGCGCTGATGGGGGACCCAGGGTTAAGAGCAGAGGGTGCCCAAGACACCCCTGAACTGGACAATGCCGCAGGGACTCCCGAGCTTGACCAGGGCTCTGCCCTCACACCTGGTCCACCCCCTGCCTGTGGCACCAACTTGGGCCAGTCCGTTCATCTCTCTATGCCTCAGTTTCCCCATCTAGAAAACAGGGGTGAGTCCCTCCTCAGAGGAATGTGCTGAAAAGGAAATTAGACGAAGCCCATAAAAAACCAAGCGCAGTACAGGGCCCGGCTGTTGGGGAAAGCCTGCCCTGCCCCCACCATCCTGCCTCATCAGCGAGCACAGCAGTTCAGAGCTCAGAGCTTTGGAGTCAGAGAGACCTGGCTTCCAATCCCGTAAGGTCTTGGACAAATTAATTTCTTTGAACTTCAGTTCTCCCACCTGTTCAATGGGCCTAATATCAGGGTTGGTGAGAGGATAAAACAGAGGGGTGTGACTGAGCCCAGGGCCCGACACATAGTAAGTGCTAAGCAAATAGTGCTGGCCCTTGAGTCACGCTGTCTTCCCAGGGCCTGCTGGGCTGGGAGGGGACACAGGTGGAAGCCCAAGGGGCAGGCCAGGCTGTCCCCCCTGCCTCCACTGCACTGTTTCGTCACCCCGAGACCCTGGGGCAGCGGGGGGCGCAGGCTGATGTGGAAGGAAGGCCCCGAGGCGAGAATGTATCACAAAGTGAAAAAGTTCTTTATTTCAGAACAGCCGCTGCCGTCGAGGTTACACTGTGGAAGGTGGCGCGGGCGCCAGGGGGGAGGCTGGAAGGGCTCTGCCCCCCGAATTTCCTTCCATCGCCCGCACGTTTTCTCAGGCGCACGTGTCCGGGGTGGGGCGGCGGAGCAGGGAGGGGGCGCTGGCCACCCCCGCCT